ACAACATCGTTCTGCTCCATCCAAGTGTCTTCAGTGAGCTACGAGTTCAACGCACTCTTGGAAGCTTCTGGTGTTGGCAGACGGTGCTTCAGCGGTGGTCGTTCCTGTGTCGAGTGGGTTGCGCACTTCAGGCTGCACTACCCCCTGTCGTGCTGCAAATGGCCGTTTCCCCTGTGCGTCTCAGCATGTAAAAGAGCATTTCCCTAAAAGAGCCAATTTCTCTAAAAGAGTACAATAAGCGGGTGCGTCCTTGTAGAGACGACGGTCGTTACCTGGCGCCGGGTGATGGTCACAATGGCTGCCTCACGTGTCTGGGCATTAAACACGCTGAGGTGGCGTTCGTGGATGAGTCATGTTCCCATTGCGGGAAGATGACCATCTCGGAGCTGCGGGCCAGGCTCCGTTTTCTCCAGGGGGGCGGAGCTCCGTTGTCTCTGCTGCGATCTAGTGTTCGTTCTGGTGGCAGCCAGGCATGGACTACTTCGGGCAGTAGCACGGGCGGTCTGAGGGTTACAGTGGTGGCAAACCCCTGAGGGAAACAACCCTCGGGGGACCATCGCTCCTCTAGCGCTTCACAACCAGATGAGCCGCCAAAGGAACGCTCTGGGCCCTCTTCAAAGAGCGTACCAGCGATATCTTTCGGTGCTCCTCCCGACGACCAGATGTCGATCACTGCATCGGAGGGAGAGCTCTCTGGAGAGGAAGATTCGGCTGTGCTGCCGCCCTCCGGGACGGTGGCAAGGCCTGAATCGGATCCAGAGATGTCGGCTATGCTTTCCCGGGCCACTGAGAGGGTAGGGCTCCAGTGGAAACCTCCACCGCGTCCCGGGCCCTCGAGGTTGGACGATTGGTATCTCGGGGTGGCTCGCGCTGGTTCTCAGTGCACCGCCTCAGTGCCTTTCTTCCCGGAGGTGCATGAGGAGCTCACCAGGTCATGGATGGCACCTTTTACTGCCGGAAACCGACCTGCTGGTTCCTCCTCCCTCACTACCCTCGACGGTGGTGCAGCTAGGGGGTATACAAGGGTCCTCCCAGTGGAGCGGTCGGTTGCAATGCAATTGTGTCCTAACATCGCCTTCACCCAGCAGGGCGAACCGTGCCTCCCCTCCCGGGTCTGTAGGTACTCGTCTGGCCTGTCCGGCGATATTATATGGCCTGTGGAGAAGCTGCCTCCGCCTTACATGCTACGGCGTTACTGCAGGTTCATCAGGCCAAGGCACTGAGGGACCTGCACGAGGGTGGTCATGATCCGGAAGTTCTGAAAGAGCTCCGAACCGCTACTGACCTCGC